CAACTTCTATGAGCTCATTTTTTTATATTCTAAGTTTGGGTGAGGTCATGTAATACTTATCTTTCTGTGCCTGGCTTTTTTTACTTAGCAAAATGACTGCCAGTTTTATCCATGCTGCCAAAAATGACAAAAAAGAAAAGCTAGAAGAAAAGACTGAATAGTTTCACCATAAAGAAATGTGTTTGAGGAGATAGGTTTTCCCTAATTTCAATATTACACATTGTGTACATATATCTCATATCACAATGGTACAAATTTTATGTATAAACAAAATAAAAATGAAAAAGAATTAAAACTATATATACTTAAAACTAAAATTACATATAGTTAGATTAAATTAAATTTAGACTATATAAATTAACATAATTTAAATATATATTACATTTCCTTTCATATATAATAAAGTATACATATACATATATTATATCCATGTATACTTTTAAAGGGTCTATCAGATGGTGGGTTTGAAGCCTTACATCTTCCTGCCTCAGCTTCGTGAGTGGCTGGGATGACAGATGTACACCATCATTCTTGGCTAAGGCAAAATTTTAAAATTATTCTTTCAAAGAGGAAGTTCTAGATAGGTAATTATCAAGCATGTGTAGGCAATTGTCAAGCATTTTGAATGAAGTATTAAAGAGTGAACATTTCAGGAGTTGCAAGGTGCATAGTTTTTTGTTTTTTGTTTTTGCAAATACTCAATTTTGTGAAGCACAGAAGCAACCTCACAGCATACATATGTGATGAGCATAATTTCATTAAGGACACTGACATTTAGAATTCATACAATGTTCATGTGGTATAACATATTCTTTTATGTTTTTAACCATTTAAAAATATAAACATCATCCTTAGCTTGACAGATGTAAAAGCAGTATGATGAGCATACTTGGCTCGTAGCCAGTAGATTCCAAATTTATCTGGCCCTTGGGCCCCAGGATGGCCATGGCAGGCAGGGGCAGGTCTCAGGGCTGGGGGTAATGAGTTATGGTGAGTTGGTAGCCAGAGCCATCACACACAGAGGCAGAAAATCTCAATTTAGGTGCCTCAGCCCTGCTGACAGCGAGGCCCCTCTCGTAGCTCTTCCCACTAAGGAAATGCTGCAAATCCAGATTTCTGCCTGAGTTGAAAATCTTTTCCATTTGATCTCTCTGCATTCAGTACATTTTAGTTAAGATGCCATTTTAGTTAAAGTCCATGCCTTTATTTCTGTTGGTAAAGGGGGGGATTAATATTTTTATGATCTATTTCTTATTACCTGACCTATTATTATCAATAATGCTGAATATAATTGCAGAATATTACTGGTTCTTAATGGAAAGAATGCTACATCAAAATCAGGAGGCCTACTTTCCAATTCTGTATAATACTAACCACCTAAATACTTGCAAAAATAACTTAAATTTCTGGACATCGGCTTATTTGAAAAAGGATTATTTAAAAAAATAGTTCATCTTAGTAATACAGAATGTTGAAGTTCCTTTGGGGAAACTGGTATATTCACTAAATATACTTTGATCATTTTAAATCCCATTGCCCCATCTCCTTAAAAGAAGGATTTTGAAGATGTGCTATAGCTGTATAGGTGAATGAGAATTCCTTTTGTCATAAATATCACTTTACTGAGAAACTGTAAGGTAGAAAATACATTTTGCCACAGATATGTCAAAAGTATGGGGGAAGCAGATTAAATATTAAATTCACAGCTGCATTTGCTGAGTTTTATGATAACATGCATTCAGAATAAATTCAGAAAATCCTTTTTTTTAAACTTATTTTTCTAGAAGCACGTAGAGGCTAGCTATCTAAAGGGCCTCTAGTTTACACTCTATTTCATTGAGAAAAAAAAAAAGAACCAGAAACACAGAAAAGAAAACAGCAGCACATTTTTGTAAATCTGTGAATTAAGACTTTGAACCTGCAGATGGTGCTATGATCCCTTTTTGCAATGGTTTTGCTTTCTCATTTAAACTCTTAAAAAAGGAATGGAGTTTTTTT